TCTCTCTACCCCCCTCTCAAGGGTCGACCTGCAGGATTTGGAGCTTTCCAGAGCTCTGAGAAGGACCTTACCTGTAACAGTTGTTGTCAAATTTGTTGTAACTGGCAAACGCAATCAAGACTCCGAATCCAGCCCCCAAGGAGAAAAATATCTGAGTTGCAGCATCGATCCACACCTGAAACCAGCAGACAAAAGGCCTCACCCTCGGCTTCCTACAGCATCGTATGACCTTCTGGGGGCCCTGGAAGGGCTGGGAAGCGCCAGGGGGGCTCTGAGACCCAAGGAAACGTGGTCTGAAGCAGAGATGGGCAGCCCTAGCCACTCGCTCCCGGCAGCCTGCGCAAGACAACCATGGAGAGAGGCTGGGGCCTCCCTAGTGTCTCCCAACCCTGGGTAGTCATGAGTGAGCTCACCCCGGAGGAACTCACTGGCTCGATTTCAAGTCCTGATTTTCAAAGAAAGTTAATAAACTGAAAGTCCTAGGCTAGAATGTGGACAGGGCAAGAGCAAAGAGCATCATGACCATCTCAGGAGTTATGGAGACGACATCTTCAGAGATGGTAGGCTCCTACCAGCCCACAGACAGGGGTAACTTCTTGGGGGCCACTGGGGCTTACTTATTCCATCTTTTGGGTGATGAAAGCACATGGCCTGAGGCCTGAAGTTCTGAGCCCTTCTCCAACCTCCCTGCTTCGTGGTCTAGCCCCGGTCAGTTTCACCTCTCTATATCATAATTTCCACTTTCATAGTCATTTAGGCCTCTGGGAAGGACATTGGCTAGTGGAGGTTGTTGGGGGCGAGTTGGCAGGTCCAGGTCTCCTTGGACTGAGGGAGACTGAGGCTGAGGTCGCTCCTTACGCTGACATCACGGGATGGGGGTAAAGGGGGCAAAGGCCAGGGTTGGGGACTAGAAAGCTGAAGTAGGGCTGGGGTGGGCTAGGGAGCCACGGGCACAGGACAGGAGTGAGGACCCAGGACATCACGTCCCCTTCACAGGGCACTGCTCTTCTTGCAAAGAGCAGTCAGTGAAGGCCACCAAATGGGACCACAGTGTCCTAGACCACCCATGCTGGGTGGGCTCATGGAGACGGTCGGGTGCAAATCGGCTTCAGTCAGATGGAGAAGCTGTCACTCAGAGGGGCAAGGATCCTGTCCAAGGCCATGTCGCAAGGTTATGGCAGAGCCGGGACCCAATCTTCCATCACCACCTGCCCCCGAGAAGCCTCCCCCAAGCCCGGCCCAAGGCTAGGCGGTCTCTGGGCACTGACCGTGGCCTCTTTCAGGCGGTAGAAGTCGATGTGCAGGTAGGCGCTGATGCCGTTGGAGGCGCCGGGCAGCGTGACGCCGTGAACCAGGAGCACGAACAGCACCAGGTAAGGCAGCGTGGCCGTGATCCACACCACCTGGGCAACGGACAGCTCGTGTGAGAGCCACGCTCTGCCAGAGAGCCAGCCACGCCCTCCCCCACCTCCCCTTCCCCAAGGCATGTTCTAGAAGCTCCATCTCTGGGGCAGACCCTGAGCCAGACTCCAGGGACAGAGCCATAAACAGACATTGGCCTCACCCCAGAGAAGCTCAGAACCTGGAGGAGAATCAGGCACACCGGGGACGGTGCGGCAGTGGAAGCCAATGGCGTCGGGCAGAGACTCAGGTTCTCATTGCATTGGATGCCTCCTCCTCCACAAAGTCACCTCTCCTGACTCCTTAAAGTTGCCTCAGGACTAAGCACACCCACCTTTGTGCTCTCCCCTTTCCCTGCCAGTCCTGCATCCATCACACCATTGGTGTTGGTTGCTGCACCCATCTGACTGGCGGGCTATTTAGAAATCAGTCTCGTTGTCTCCCTTTCCTCCTCTCTCCCTGTCCTTTCCCTTTCCCTCTTTCCCTTCACCCTCATTCAAGCATATCTTCCTAAATGCATTGCCCAAGAAGGAATGTGGCTGGGCAGAAAGCAGAATTTCTAACCATCCTTCATTTTAGTAGGAACAGATTTGGGACAGAGACTAAGTATCTGGTTCAGAAACACAAAAGGGAAAAGATTATGCCCAGAATAAAAAGAGACGCCCTGTCCCCTTGCCCAGATTGGAGGAATTGAGAGGAAAGGTAGGGACAGGGGAAGGGTCGGTTGTGTGGGCTTCCTTCTCACCCTTGGCTACACGTTAGAATGCTCTGGCGGAAGTTACAGATAAAAATGTTAAAGCTCAGATCCCATTCTTGGAGTTTCTGATTTAATTGGTCTGGGGTGGGACCTGCACTTCAGTATCTTTTAAAAGCTCCCAGGTGATGTGAATGGCAGCCAAGGTGAGAAATCACTGCTTTAGGCCGATGCAGCCATGGGCAGCCTTGCAGAAAGAAGACCGTGGCCCACGCAGAAAATCAGGTCAGGGTCAGGGCAGTCAGACCCCAGGAAGGCTGGGCTGAAACACAAGCAGACATATAACTTAGGAGCCAGATGGTTCCTCCCCCCAAGCCCTGGCACTCCGCAGCCCCAGGAATCTTGGCACATGCCTAGGAAGAAAACATAACTCAAATTATGACTGAGGGTGAAGTTCTTTTCCAGCCTAGAAAGACATGGGCTCAAAACAAAAATGGAGATATAGAAAATAGTCATATATTTTCATACTTATGCCTAAGGGATAGGATTTATCTTCCTTGCTTACTTGTTTGTTTTTCCCACCAGACCTTGAGCCCCTTAGAAGCAAAATCCTTTATTTTTTTAAACTTGTATCCCCAGCGCCTGGTACACATGGGTCCTTAAAAAATGTTTATTAGGCCGGGCGCGGTGGCTCACGCCTGTAATCCTAGCTCTCTGGGAGGCCGAGGCGGGCGGATTGTTTGAGCTCAGGAGTTCGAAACCAGCCTGAGCAAGAGCGAGACCCCGTCTCTACTAAAAATAGAAAGAAATTAATTGGACAACTAAAAATATATAGAAAAAATTAGCCGGGCATGGTGGCGCATGCCTGTAGTCCCAGCTACTCGGGAGGCTGAGGCAGGAGGATCGCTTGAGCCCAGGAGTTTGAGGTTGCTGTGAGCTAGGCTGACGCCATGGCACTATAGCCTGGGCAACACAGTGAGACTCTGTCTCAAAAAAAAAAAAAAATTAAAAAAAAATGTTTATTGGATGAATGATTGGAGAGTTACATAGATGAGTGCTGGATTATCAGGTAGATGGACGGATGGGTGAGTGGATGGTTGCATGGTTGGATGTATGGCTGGGCAGATAGTTAAATGGATGGGTGGATGACTGGGGGGTGGATGGATGAGTGGATGGATGGATAGATGGGTGAATGAGTGAGCGATAAATCAGAGGGTTAGTGGAAGACTAAGTCAAAGAATGAATGAAAGCACGAGCGAGTCAACGAATGAGCAAATGAGTCAACGGGGAGGAAACGCATCAGTGGTGCTCATGTCTTCTGGGCTCAGAGGTGATCAGAGGAAGCTCCTCTGTTTCACATCGTTCAGTTGTTTCCCCCTTACTCGTTCTGTCGAGGTCTTTGTGAATGTGGGTTTTTGACTTCTGTTTTCTTTTGGAGGCAGGGAACAAATTGTATACAAATGAAAAGAGAAACACGCCCTGGAAATTAAGGCTATTGCATCTGGGTGGCCTTACATTGATATTGGATTCATTCTCCCAGAATGGGACGAATGGGTCTAAGTCCTTGGCCACAGGCACGAGGAAGAGCTCGCACATATTCCTGTGACACTGTGATGGGTCCTAACTGCTGTGGTCTCCTACAGCCCGTGTCAACTTCTGGCCCAGCAGACCCGGCGAGACCACACTCCCCCATCAAAAACCAACCTCTTGGGTTTTGACTCCAGGGCATCAAGCCTGGAGGTGGCCTTGCATTGGCCATGCCTGAGGTTCCAACATGGATCCAGTTTCCCCAAGGAATACACCAGGACAGGAGTGAGCTGAGTCTGGCTATAGTCAAGCATCAAGAAAGGAAGGGTTTGTTTTGTCCATGCACATGGGTTCAAAGCTGAACCATCTGAGTCTCTTTGAAGGTTCTCAGAGTTGATGGCAGATGTGAGTTCAACTACCTGAGATCTTGTGTCGAAAGGGAGCCTCCTAGATCCTTGGCCAACAGCTCACTCATGCTCACGTGTGCCCTGTACACACACTGGGCAAAGAGAAGGGACACATGGGCTCTGTCATCTCGAGCCCAGGCCTTACAGTTCTCAGAATTTCAACTCGCATCTCTGGCCATGAGAAGCCAGACTTGGTCGAACTTTGAGCACAAGATCAGGGAATTAATGAACAGCCCACTGGTCTTGGCAAGTACCCTTAGTCCCCAAGGGAGGTCACTGCTTTCTATCACCTTAAACCCAAATTCTTACCAGCCTGGTGTTTCTGTGGATAATTCATGTGGTTCCAGGGTACCAAACTCAAACCAATGGCTGACAATCAAAATGAAGAAGATCTTGACTCCATATAAGGAAGAACATTCAAATGGATAAAGCTCTCTAAAGGGAAGGAGCTGACCAGAGAGGTGGTGAACCAGTCACTGAAGTTGTGCAAACCTTGCTACGAAGCCAGGCATCAGGCAAAGGATTGCCTAGATTAACACCAGCATCACCCGGGAGCTTGTCAGAAATGCAAATTCTCACCACCGCCACCGCCACCCCAGTCCTGCCACTGAAGCGGACTCTCTCAAACAGGGACCCAGGAATGTGAGCTTTAACAAGCGCTGCACGTGATTCTTACGTGCGTTAGAGTTTGAGAAGCACTGCCTGGGATCTACTTTAAGGTCTATAATAACACAAAGGTTATAAATGTCTGGATTTTATCACTATAAATCTGCCATTAATTTAACCTTTACTAATTTAGAATGTGTGAGCCTCTGAACTGAGCCTTAGGGACATTTTCACTATATATTTTTTTAAAGGATTTATAGGGTGTGGGGTAAATACTGATGTTACTTAAGAAAACACCGAGCTGGAAATGTTTTAGTATGTGCATCGCTTATGTGCCAAATGATGCTGTTCATTATATTAATAATTGGGTCCCATTGAGTCACTAGAGCAAGCCAGGACCAGCCTGTGTTGACATATTCCTGGGAAGACTTGGCTAGAATTAGGACTCGAATGTGAAAGCAGCAAAATGGCCTTTCTATTTAAATATCCTAAGACTCAGGTTTTGTTTGAATCGGTCTGCCTTTCTCTCTCCCCTCCCACCACCTTCCCCAGAACTCAGGAGGTTCTGCGCCTGCTCCCGTCCCCCAGATAGCCCAGAGGCTGGCAGCCAGGTGGGCGGAGTGGGTGGCTGACCCTGGCCAGTTCTGATGTCTTGATTTATCTCCAGGCAAAGAGGAGTCTGAGGTTTCTAAAACTTTAGTCCAATATGTAAACAGAGCTGGTGGGAGCCTGGGTCCTTCCCTCCTTCCAGCCCACAGCGAATTGGCAATGCAGTGCAGGTAGGGGCGGAGCAGGGCGGGAGTGCTGATGATGGGGACACACACAGGGACCATGTATTGAGCAATTCCCACCTGCCAGCCCTGCATGGAGGACTCGCACTCCATCCTCCCAATAGCTGGGAGGCAGTGACATCCACTCATCACCCTCATTTTACAGGGAAATGGATTGAGGGAACCGAAGCTTATGGAGGGTCATTAACCCCGAGGCCACGGGTGGTCTAAGCACAGAGCCCATGTTCTTAATCACTCACTAGACTCTACATTGGACAACCAGGTTCAAGTCCTAGCTGTGCTGAAGATTGCTGTGAAACCCTGTCCCTCTCCAAGCCCTTGTTTCCTTGTCTGTACAAGGAGGTCGGAGTAGGTAGCCTCTGAGTACCTTGCAGCTCTGGCATTCAGGGGCCGGGTCACTGGGCTTGTACTTGCTAAATGCCACTTCAGCCAAGAGCTCAGGAGATCGAGGAGGCAGGTGGGACTCCAGGATGGCAGGCAGCTGTGTGCACACACTTGCCAGTCTCTCGGGGGGTTAATTAACGCCTGTCTCAAACCTCCACCCTCTACCCAGAGGCGATCTATGGGCCACACAGTTGTCGCAGAGTGTTTGGTCTGGGGTAACTCCAGCCCTGGTTCAGACTGTGCCCTGCCTCCCACCATCCCAGCGGCCGAAGAGTCATGCATCTTCCCAAGCACAGCCTTCACTTGCCAAGACAGGAAGTGTGAACCTTTGCAGTTCATTTCAGGCTGGCTCTGTGGCTTGTGGAAGCCTGCTAAGCAAAGCTCAGTGTCCCATTCCAGATGCAGTCTGGGAAGAAATAAGCAACACTCTTGGTTTTTTTCATGAGCCGGTTTATAAAAACAATTAAAGACAGGGCACAAGAATATCCTGAGTGAAGCTCCCCATTCTAGAAATTCCCCCCACCCCATGGGTTGCCCAGGGCGGTTGCCTTCTCAGCCAGAACACTGAAGGACTTACTCGAAATGTGGGCTGTGGCTTCGGTCGACACACAAGGGGAACTCATATTCCTCACTCATCGTGTTTCTTTGTGGGGGACTTCCCAGTGTAACACTCCTGTTCCGCCCCTCATTACACTCCTCCTCTGAAGGTGCACTTAGAAAGAGGAACTGGGCATGCCCAGCCCCGCTCCTCTTGGTGTCTCTCGAGCACCAGCCCATCTGCAGACAATTAAGCTCTGCTCTGGCCAGGTGCTCAGCTAGGCAGCGCAGGCTCTACCCCTTTGGCAATGGCTGTGAGGAACTTAATCTTGAAATGCAACGTTAGAAGCCTGTGGTGGCCCCACACCAAGGCCAGTAGCACTAGTAAACCTCATACATGCTCCGCAGTTCATAGGGGTGGGCCCTGTCTCCCCTCAGGGCCTCTGTTGGTGCCAGGAAAGGCATTGAGAGCACTAGACAAGCTGGACCAGGGCGTCAACACCTCTATGGCTCTGCTCACACAGTTCCTTCTACTAAGAACCCCTTCCCCCTACCCCACCCTTCCTGTGCCTGTTCTTACAGACCCAGCTCGAATGTCACCTTCCCCATGGTCTTTGCAGACCCTCGCAGTTGAAAGAGCTTGCTCCCTCCACTAATGCAGCATCTCATACTTTTTGACCATGACCCGTGGTAAGAAATTCCTTCTCCATCAAGACAAACTATTCATAAACATTAGAGTGCTATAACTGAAACAAAAATTCCACGAGACAGCATATTTTACTATGTGCAATGTACTCGTTATCTAGCCTATTTCATTTTTAAAATTTGTCATGACCCACTAAATTGATTTAATGATCGTCAAAAACCCCACAGTTTGTATTTCTACTAAAGTATTTAATATATAACCTGACTACTGGTTGTGAAATTATCCACAAGATAAAGTTAAGGAAAAAAAAAAGCAAAATATATAACAGTGTGTATAGTTTGTGACCATTGGTGCTTATTTAAAGGGGGACACACATATATGTCTCCGAATAGAGACCCAAATAACTAGTGGCATTGGTTGACCTACAAACCTGTCTTTAATACACATAGATTATAAGCAATTGAAGAAGGAATCTGTCTTACTTATTATTGCATCACTATTACTAGCATCAGATTTGGTACATAGTAAGTGTCCATAAATGCTTAATAATTTTGAACTGGGCCGGGCGCGGTGGCTCACGCCTGTAATCCTAGCACTCTGGGAGGCCAAGGCGGGCGGATTGTTTGAGCTCAGGAGTTCGAGACCAGCCTGAGCAAGAGCGAGACCCCCCCCCGTCTCTACTAAAAATAGAAAGAAATTAATCGAACAACTAAAACTATATAGAAAAAATTAGCTGGGCGTGGTGGCACATGCCTGTAGTCCCAGCTACCTGGGAGGCTGAGGCAGAAGGATTGCTTGAGCCCAGGAGTTTGAGGTTCTGTGAGCTAGGTTGACGCCACGGCACTCTAGCCCTGGCAAAAGAGTGAGACTCTGTCTCAAAAAAAAAAAAAAAATTTTTTTTGAACTGAATTCAAAAGAACACTTAATGAAGTTCCCTAAACTTATTTACCTACCCACCCTTCAATCCTTCAGTAAATATTTACTGAAGATCTGTTATATGCCAGGCATCCAGATGGTAGTGGTCCTAGTCTGGTTTTGCTCTACCCCAGAATTCCTCTCAGCTCTTGTCTGCATTTTGTTCGGGTCCTTCCCAGGGAAGCCACCGTGTCCCCAAAATGATGATAGGAAGTTCCGCCTCCAGTTCTTGACAAATGTCATCCCCACTGGCTGCTCGTCCCCTGCCACCATCTTTGCTCTTGAAGGCATGACCAAGAATTCTAGGGGTATCAGAGAGAACCCTGCCGCGCCCCCTTTTCCAAAATCAGTTGCCTAATGAAGCTTCTTCCAAATTCATGCCTACTTGACTATGGTAGACTATTGCCTCACAACCCCCAATGAACTCACACCTGTGTGTAGTCCCGTCCCACATGGACTCAGGGCTTTACTGCAGGACTTGTTTTGAGCATTGGCACAAGCACAATACAAGCAGAGACTGGAAGAGCAACTTGCACATTGGGGCTTGTCTGCTTGGAACATACTCTTGGAACTCAGCCGCCATGCTGTGAGAAGCCCAAGCAACATAGAAAGGCTATGTGGAAACCACCCAAGCTTCTGTGGTTGACAGCTCCAACTTAGCTTCCATCCAGCACTGGAAATGTGTATACACCATCTAGAATGTTCCAGCCCAGTCGAGACCCCAGATATGTAGCCCAGAGAATATCACATGGAGCAGAAGAACCACCTAGCTGATCCAAGTCAATCCACAGAATCATGAGAGATAATAAAATGATTGTTATTTTACATCACTACATTTTTGGGTGGTTTGTTACATAGCCTTAGCTAACCAAAACATTGGAAAGAACGCTTCCCAGCTATGTCCTCTTTACCAGTCATGCTCTACATAGATCTGTGGGGCCCAAATGGGGTTGTTGTTCCCATAATGTTCCTCAGGATAGCAATGAACATGAGCCATTTCCTGAGTATGGCCCACCCCTAAGAGGCTGACTACAGGGAACAGTGTCACCCACATTCAGAATGCCAGCTCCAGACTGGCCCTCATTGGTTATCTAATCCTGTGCTGTTCTCTCCAAGACACCTAGACCCTTCGGGACACTCAGCACTATGTCAGAGGAAACACAAAGTCTAGCATACATCTGGACATCTTCTAGAGCATTCTCTTACTCAAAAATTTGGGGGAGGGAGTTATGGATTTTATAGTAAAGCAAATACAACATTTGAATGAAATTTTATGTCAGAATCCAAGATTTATCAAAGACATGTCAATAGTTGCTTTAGGCTTTGTCTGGAGGCCCTTGTGGGTACCCCAGCCCCTGGTCTCCACTGTTGGGGGAGGCCTTGGCAGGAGGGCATGAGGAGCTCTGATCTACGGGCATGCCTCACCCTCCCGTCGGGGAGACACCAGCTTAGGGAGGGGAAGGCATTTGTCCAAGTCAGTGCAGAGCTGGGGCTTGAACCCAAGCTTTGTACTTCCAATCTGCCTTTTCCTTTCACCAACTACATGATTATAGCGAGAAAAAAGCCTTTTTTTTTTTTTGTCAAGGCCAACCTCCCAACCAAAAGAAGAACAGAGATTACCTTTCCTGATGTCTTCACTCCTTTCCAGAGGCTAAAGTACAGGACGATGACGACAACCAACAGACAGAGCAGGAGCTGCCACTGGGGCAGGCCGATGTCGTGAATCCCACTGCTCTCGTGGAGGTGCAGGACGCCACGCCTGCCCGGGGGAGAGGGGAGGGGACCGGGGAAGACAGTGTCAGGGAGGATGGCCAAGGTCGTGGCCACTGGCCTGTCCCCACAAGTGCACACTGATGGAGACAGCACCCAGCCACTCTCCCCCAATTCTGGGGCCCTGGCCACTGCCATGCATCAGGTGGGCCTGCCCTGGCCAGCCATGGCCTGTGCCCAGGGCTGCTCCGGCCAGGCGCAGCAAATCATCTGAGGGGAGTCCAAGCTCAAGTCCGTTTTTAAAAGACAAAAATTGGGCCAGGCTTGGTGGCGTGTGCCTGTAGTCCCAGCTAGTTGGGAGGCTGAGGTGAGAGGATTGCTTGAGCCCAGGAGTTCAAGGTTGGAGAGAGCTAAGTTCACACCACTGCACTCCAG